TGACTTTACCTTTTAAACTTTGTTCTAAAAGGTAAATGCTTAATTATAAACTTGTTTAAAGTCTTTAGATTAAAATGAGGGCAGTAAAGCTCTAAAAATATTTGAACTAAGAACAATGTAATTAACCACACTTTACAGTAATTTGCACAAGAGACAGCTTCCAGTGCACTCATTAACAAGGATTTTTTAAATTTCATTGTCTAAAACTTAAAACAATTTCCTGGCTCTGTTTTGACAAGGGAAGGAAGTTTTGGCTGCAGTGAGATACTGATAAGGAGACTTGTGTGTCTGATACCTAGTTCATTATTGACAAATAGAGCCCCCTTTCCCTTCATTTTTTCCACTAATTAATTATTTTTTGAAGAAATTCCTGATTTGTAAATGGAATTGACATAATATCTTTGAATAGTATTAGAGAAACTCCTTTCAAATTTGAAACCTGATTTGGGGGAACTGCCTAATCTTTGAGCTCATGAGTATGGTGCAACTCTCCCACTTGAAACAAAAACCATAAAAGTAGGGGTTAATGTCTTCAGGAAATGTCCATTTCTCTTTAGGAAAAAGTGTTATCACTACTGAAATTATACTCTTGGAGATACAGTGTCTCCTTACTTTTATTGATCTCCCTATTATACAGCACATTGAAACCTTCAGGACCATGCTAGTCAAATGACAATGCATCACAGGTTTATACGAAAGGTTCTGCATTCCTTTCAGTCTCATGTTGGCTTCATACTGATATGCTTGATAACATAAAGCTAAAGCCTGAAAGTTAATTTGATCTTGTTTTAAAAAACTGCAATTGCAAAAGGGGATCTTTGGTACTGATTTTAGGCTTTTTAGAATCTTGATCAATGTATCAACAGTATTTATTAATACATTTATTTCAGGCTTCAGCACATGATTACCTTCAGAATAATCCACTGGTGGGCTGTGAGACCTTTTGTTTACATCGATCATCCACAGGAATAGCCTCTTCCCCCTCCTGCTGCTCTTATTGACTGTGGTTCACCATTCCTGGCCAATGGGAGCTGTGGGAAGCTCTGCCTTTTTAGCAATCGCTCTTTTAGAAATTGTGATCACGGGAACATAGCACATAGCGCTCACTAGGGTCAGAGATGCGCACTCGTCATTGCAAATTAACCAGCGGAGTGCTCTCTCTTCTAGGTGTTTTGCATCCCTTGTTTTAGACAATTTATATACATTATGAATTCGCAAAGTTCTCTGATTAAAAGTATATATTATAATTTTTAGGTGCGGCAAACTTAACCAAGAAAATAAACACAACTATGACATAGTTGGTATCACAGAGACTTGGTGGGAAAATACGCATGATTAGAATATTGGTATAGAAGGATACAGCTTGATCAGGAAGGATAAGCAGGGGAAAAGGGAGCATGTGCTGCTTTATATAAACTTCTGTATATACACTCACACACACACATATTTGTGTGTGTGTGTGTGTGTCTAAATATAGAGAGAGAGAGACACACACACACACACACACTTGTATATACTATAAAAATGTATATACTTGGACTGAAGTTGAGATGGACATAGGAGACAGACTTGATGAGAGTCTCCTGATAAGGTTTAAAAGGGTGAAAACAAGGGTGATGTCATTGCAGGGGGTCTATTACAGTCTACCTAAGGGGTAGGATGAGGCTTTTATTAAATAACTAACAAAATCATCCAAAGCACAGGATTTGATGGTGATGCGGGACGATTATTCATCAGATATCGGTTGGGAAAGTAACACAGTAGGGCACAGATTATTCATCAAATTCTTGGAATGTATTGGAGACAATTTTTTACTTCAAGAATACGGAGAAAGCTACTGAGGGAGGCTGTTCTAGATTTGATTTTAACAAATAGGGAGGAACTGGTTGAGAATTTAAAAGTGGAAGACAGCTTTGGTGAAAGTGATCATGATTCTAAGGAATGGTAGAAAGGAGAACAGTAAAATAAAGACAGTGTATTTCTAGAAGGCAGACTTCACTAAACTCAGGAAGCTGGTAGGTAAGGTCCCATGGGAAGCAAGACTAAGAGGAAAAACAATTGAAGACAGTTGGCAGTTTTTCAAAGGGACATTATTAAGAGCACGTCCTTCCACCGTGTAGAAAAGGTAGTAAGTATGGCAAGATACTGCCCTGGCTTAACCAGGAGATCTTGAATGATCTGAACATCAAAAAGGAGTCCTATAAAAAGTGAAAACTAGGTCAAAGTACGAAAGATGAATAAAACAAGTATCTAGGGGCAAAATTAGAAAGTTGAAGGCGCAAAAACCAGCTCATTTTAGCTAGAGATATAAAAGATAATACTAAAACATTCTACAAATATATTAGAAACAAGAGGAAGACCAAGGACAGGGTAGGCCCATTGCTCAGTGAAGAGGCAAAAACAATAACAGAAAACTTGGAAATGGCAGAGGTGCTTACCTGCTTTGTGTCGGTTTTCATCAAGAAGGTTGGTAGCAATTGGATGCCTAACATAGTGAATGCCAGTGAAAATTGAGTATGTTCAGAAGTTAAAATAGGAAAAGAACAAATTAATATCACTTAGAAAAGTTAGATGTCTTCAAGTCACCAGAGCCTGATGAAATGCATCCTGCAATACTCCAGGCGCTGATAGAGGAGGCATCTAAACCTTTAGCTATCATTTTTGAAAAAGTAATGGAAGTCGGGAAACATACCAGAAGACTGGAAAAGAGCAAATATAGTGCCCATCTATAAAAAGGGAAATAAGAACAACTCAGGAAACTAAAGACCAGTCAGCTTAACTTCTGTGCCCAGAAAAATAACAGAGCAAATAATTAAGGAATCCATCTGCAAACATCAGGGAGACAATAAGGTGATAAGTAACAGCATGGATTGTTAAGAATGAATTTTGTCAAAACAACCTGATAGGATAGGATAACAAGCCTTGTGAATAAAGGGGAAGAGGAAGACATGGTATATATGTTGCATCTCCCAAAACCAGGGCTCTCTTTTCTGGGAGCATGTTTGGAAAAGAGAAAACTGAGAGGGGACATAACAGCTTTCAAGTACATAAAAGGGTGTTACAAGGAGGAGGGAGGAAAAAGTATTCTCCTTAACCTCTGATGATAGGACAAGAATCAATGGGCTTAAATTGCATAAGGGAGGTTTCAGTTGCATATTAGGAATAACTTCCTAACTGTCAGGGTAGCCAAGCACTGGAATAAATTGCCTAAGGATGTTGTGTAATCTCCATCATTGGAGATATTTAAGAGCAGGTTAGACAGACATCTGTCAGGGATGATCTAGATGGTGCTTGGTCCAGCCATGAAGGCAGGGGACTGAACTTAATGACTTCATGCAGTTCTAGCATGCTATAATTTTCTAATTTTTATAAAAAAGGGGAAAAGCACCTATATGATTTTGGAATCTAAATTCCTTTGTTTTCAATGCAACTCATGCTTTTAAGTCACATGCTTTTGAAAATTTTTATTTACTGCTTTTTTAACATCCTCCATATTTCCCATAAAATAAGTGATTAGTGTAAAAGTGGAGAGTTTTTCCCATTATCTTAAATTGCAAGTTTTCTTTCTCTCTGTGTAATAGGTGTCTTTTGTAAGAGGAGATTTCCCTCCTTCTCTGTGTAAGCCTGAAGTATGAAAAGCATACCTACCAGTAATTGTGAGCCCCTTCCTATATCCAGTTTTTAAATTACTGCACAAAAAATAACTGCAGTTGTCACACTTTTGTGTTTCTTGCATTTTGGTGTTTAAAAAAAGAAAAATATTGAAATTGATTTTAAAAAGATGAAATTCAACTTCTAATATGTCCTCACCAAACTTCCCTGCAAGTAAGTAATTTAGAAATCCATCAAACGACAGCAACTTGATTTTAGAAGATTGTTTCCTATCAGTGTTCTCTCCAACCTCCAAAAGATTGCCAAGTTGTTCAGAAAATACTGAAAAACCCAAAACAGATGTAGAAAAAGTAACAGGCAGCCCAAATGGCACTTTGTGTAACTTCACTTAGCAAATCTAAGTAAATGCTGTATTTTGGTTTTATGTGATGTGACATTTATCACATGGCTTGCACATCTTTTTCAGTGCAAAGATGACACATGGTAGGTTATAAGGATTTACATTTCATTAACCTGCAACACATATTTTAATAGATCAACAAAGTACTTTGATTTCACACCCATAATAGTCAACTGTCTTGAGGAAAGGTAGTTCATTATCTCCTTATTGCTTTTAATGTAGGATGTCAGCTGCAATGAAATCACTGCTTTGCCACAGCAGATAGGCCAGTTGAAATCTCTAAGAGAACTGAATATCAGAAGAAATTACCTCAAGGTTTTACCACAAGGTAAAAAAAATAAAATAAAGACCTTTAAAATTCTTTTAATCAAAACTTTGAACGTATGCATGTATTTAATAATGTAAATAAGTAAGAATAAAAACCTCACAATTTCCATGTGCTATAATTAGTTCAGTTTGGATTACTGAGTAGAAGCAAAATTTTACAGTACTTACTGTCTAGCAGGGGGAACATGTGGGTCTTTTTTATAATGAATTATCTTTCTGATTCATGGTGGATTTATACTTGTCTTCAAATAATTTGTTTATTATTTATTAATGACTTATGCAGACAGAACCTCTCCTGGGATATGTTTTAGCTCTATTGTGGAGTTAGGAAAATTTATACTGGCTGAGGATCAACCCCTGTAGTGTCTTAGAATTATTTTAGGAATCTTGAAGAAAAGTATGAAGTACTTAAAATAAAAGTACTGTGTTTTATTACTGAATTCATTGTACCTGTACTTGAATTAGATGCATAATCAGGTCAGAACTGCTTTTGTATGAGTTGAAATTGCATATTATGCTGTTGTCTAAATGATACCTTCGGAAATGCATCAGAAGAAATTCTATATTGTCCCCTCACCTCTTCTTCTGGTGCTTGATTACCAATACCATTAACTGTTGTGGGTCAGTTTTACACATTGACATGCAGTATTGACATAAAATGGTATATGTGTATTTTGATGATGATAAAGCAATAAGACATCAAATGGGTGGTTCTTACAAATACCTTAGGCATGTATATATCATAATGCATGAGGTGAGTCTAGATATGAAGATTATAAATTTACGGGATTTGTGGGGATAAGATGCAGTTATGAAAGCAGATACTTTTTGGGCTAAATCTTGAAGTTACATAAGAATGGCCATACTGGGTCAGACCAAAGGTCCATCTAGCCCACTATCCTGTCTGCCAACAGTAGCCAATGCCAGATGCCCCAGAGGGAGTAAACACAACAGTGAATCATCATGTGATCCCTCTCCTGTCATCCATTTCCAGGTAAACAGAGGCTAGGGATACCCTTTCTACCCATCCTGGCTAATAGCCATTGATGGACCCAACCTCCATGAATTTATCTAGCTCTTTTTTGAACCCTGATAAAGTCCTAGTCTTCATAACATCCTCTGGCAAGGAGTTCCACAGGTTGATTGTGCGCTGTGTGAAGAAAATCTTCCTTTTCTTTGTTTTAAACCTGCTACCTATTAATTTCATTTGGTGATCCCTAGATTTTATACTATGGGAACAAGTAAATAACTTTTCCTCATTTACTTTTTCCACACCAGTCATGATTTTATAGACCTCTATCATATCCCCCCTTAGTCTCCTCTTTTCTAAGCTGAAAAGTCTTTTTCCAACCCTCTAATAATTTTTGTTGCCCTTTTCTGAATCTTTTCCAGTGCCAATATATTTTTTTTGAGATGAGACGACCATATTTGTACTTAGTATTCAAGATGTGGGCATACCATGGTTTTATATAGAGGCAATAAGATATTCTCTGTCTTATTGCCTATCCCTTTTTTAATGATTCATAAAATTGCTTTTTTGACTGCCACTGCAAATTGAGTGGATGTTATCAGAGAACTATCCACAATGATTCCAAGATCTCTCTTGAGTAGTTATAGCTAAATTAGTCACCATCATATTTTATGTATAGTTGGGATTATTTTTTCCAATGTGCATTACTTTACATTTATCAACATTAAATTTCATTTGCCATTTTGTTGCCCAATCACTAAATTTGGGGGGGATCTTTTTGAAGCTCTTCACAGTCTGCTTTGGTCTTAATTATCTTGAGCAGTTTGGTATCATCAGCAAATTTTGCCACCTTACTATTTACCCCTTTTGTAGATCAATAAGTTGAATAGGAATTGTCTCATTACAGACTCTTGGGGGACACTACTAGTTACCTCTCTCCACTCTTGAAACTTACAATTTATTCCTACCCTTTGTTTCCTGTCTTTTAACCAATTATCAGTCTATGAAAGGACCTTTCCTTTTATCCCAGGACAACTTATTTTACTTAAGAGCCTTTGGTGAGGGGCCTTGTCAAAGGCTTTCTCGAAATCTAAGTATACTATATCCACTGGATCCCTCTTATCCACATGTTTGTTGACCCCCTCAAAGGACTCTAGTAGATTAGTAAGGCATGATTTCCCTTTACTGAAACCATCTATGTGTCTGACAGATTTATTCTTTACTATAGTTTCAACTAATTTGCCTGGTACTGACATTAAACTTACCAGTCTGTAATTGCCAGGAGCACCTCTAGAGCCCTTTTTAAATATTAGCCTGATGTTATCTATCTTCCAGTCATTAGGTACAGAAGCTAATGCCACAGTGTTAGGCTTCTGATGTGTTTTTCCCACCATGGGGATGCTAAATTGTATTACATTATGGTATCTATTTCCAAGCCATCCAATTATAATGACCTCTTGGACCAAATCCTGTGCTCTACTTAGGACTGAATCAATAATTGCCTCTCCTCTTATGGGTTCCAGAACCAGCTGCTCCAAGAAGCAGTCATATAAGGCGTCAAGAAACTTTTATCTTTGCATCCTGACTTGAGATGATGTGTACCCAGTCAACATGGAGATAGTTGAAATCCCCCACCATTATTGAGTTTTTATTTTGATAGCCTGTCTGATCTCCTTAACATTTCATAGTCACTAACACTATCCTGCTCAGGTGAAAATATGTCCTTTCTGCAATACCCTTATTATGCAGGTTCATTTAAGATTTTTACTTCATTTGAATCTACATTTTCTTTCATGTATACTGCCACTCCCCCACCAGAATGACCTGTTCTGTTCCCCCAGTATATTTTGTAGCTGGTATGAGTGTGTCCCATTGATTGTCCTCATTCCACCAAGTTTCTGTGATGCCTATTATATCAATATGCTCATTACATACAAGGCACTCTAGTTCACCCATCTTATTATTTAGACTTCTAGCATTTGTGTATTATCACTTGAAAAATTTATCACTATTTAGCTGGCTGCCATGTCCTGATGTATTTGAATGGCACTCTCTTTCAGATGACTGTTTTCAGTTGATTTTTTCAGATGACTGTTTCTTATCTGATTGTATCCATATTTTATCATCTTCCATCCTCTCCTCTTTACTGGAATATAGAGAATCTGTATTAATAGACTCTCCCCTAAGAGATGTCTCTGTCCAATCCATGTGCTCCTCTGCATAAGCTTTTCCCCAGCTTTTAGTTTAAAAACTGCTCTATATTTTTGAAGTTCTTATTCCAACAAAATTTCTGTTGAGGACAAGTAAGGATTAAATGATTGAGTGATTCAATATTAGTCATAAAAAGCATTAAAAAAAGTTGAGCGTGCTAATAATGAAGACCTGCCCACAAAAGGGAACAGTTACTCTTTTGGCTTGCTTTGATTCTTTCTAGTCACCCAAATTAACATCAACATTAATAATATGTTGGGAGAAAGAGACTTTATTTGGTTATTTTCTTTCTTAATCCAATTTCTGTCCCTTATTGTGGCAGCATTGCTTATTGTGGCAATGCTTTTGGAGAGATCAGGATTTCCAGAGTTTGTCATCAGTACTGATCATCCCTTAGTAATCTGATGCTGTAGCATAAATTAGAAAGCAGCCTTCTTTCCTGACTCTGCCTGATCAGCAATCCCAAAGAAGGTATCTTTGACTGAGAGTGACTTGAAGGAGCCATATTACTCCTTTGAAAAAACAGTGCAATACATTGTACCCCAACCTACAAACAATAGTTTATATGACTAGAAACTGAAGTTGTCAGTTATTTCTACTTAATATGGTACAGAATTTCTTTGTAAAACATTGTTTATAAATGTATAGATTAAAAATAGCCGTACTTCCTTTTGCAACATGAAAGGTATTTGATTTTATTTTAAGCAACCGCCAGCAGCCAAATTGGTTTGGAAATTTAAGAATGTGACTACAGCACTGGGTAGACATTGTAAACTGAATGTATTTATAAGGTCTACAGAGTTCATAACTAAAGTAACAGGATCATTCACAACTTGTTTTTAGAGGAAAAATATATTGAATTCATTATACTGTGGAATGCTTACTTTTTCCAGTTAAAAATAGGATCGTACCCCAAAATATTTCATTTATTTTGTCACATAAAGAAATATAATAACAATGATCCTTTCTATTACTTTTAGAACTAGTAGATCTTCCCTTGGTAAAGTTTGACTTTTCCTGCAATAAAGTGCTCGTGATTCCAATTTGTTTTAGAAAGATGGTGCAGTTACAAGTATTACTTCTTGAAAACAATCCTCTGCAGTCTCCACCAGCACAAGTAAGTAATGTGTATCACTTAAGTTGTGATTTAGCATAAAGGTAGGCTAGATGTTATCAAGAACAGCCTGAGTCTAGTATAAAACTTCATTATCTTGTTGTTTTCCGAAGACTGCAAGCTCAGCAATGTTATCTGTGGGGTCTTAATTATTGCAGTCAATTGATTTGAGCTAGAATTTTTTGTGAAATTTAAATAGGAGATGGTAGGTCTCTTCAAGCACTTGTGCTCTTGAGCATACATAGCACCTGAACAGTCATTCTAGAATATATTGCCACTAAAATTTCAGCTTCCTTATAAATACATCTTTAAACTTTATCATTCACCTGACTTCCTTCAATGGCTACTACTAATAAATAGCCAGAAATGAACATGTCTAGCATGCCAAGAAAAAGGAAAATTTTATACCCATCCAGGAAAGAAAGAAACTGCAGGTATGCAACTGGAAAAATCCCAAATGTACTCCTGTTTTGGAGATGACATTACAGAGTACAGTAAAACCCCATTGGTCCGGCATCAGATGGTCCGGCACTCCTGATGGTCCGGCACCATCAGGAACCCAGAAGTGCTCCGGGCAGCCGGACCTTTGGAGCTGCTCTGCCCCCTGCTTCCCCATTTCAGCCGCTGCTGAAACTGACCAGTGGCTGAATCAGGGAAGCCAGAGGCAGAGCAGCTGGAGTGCTGCCGATAGGTCCCGTAGCGCTGCTCCTCGGCACTGCGGGACCAACCCGGCAGCACCCCAGCTGCTCTGCCGCAGGCATCCCGATTCAGCTGCTGCTGAAACTAGCCAGCAGCGGCTGAATCGGGGACGCCTGGGGCAGAGCCAGACTATCGAAAGGGGGGGCTATGAGGGATCTGGGGTGGCATCCCCTCCACACCACCTTAGACCCCTCATAGCCCCCCCCTTCCGATAGTCCCACATATCTGATAATCCAGCACCCCCTGGGTCCTAAAGGTGCCGGATTATCGGAAGATTACTGTACTTAAGAAACGAAACAACTTATTCTTTGTGATCTTTTTTTTAAATCCTTTGTACTGCATTGAGAATTGGTACTCAGATTCACTGAAAGAAAGGGGAGGGCAAATGTTGAGGATGCTCAACAATTACTGCAGAGGGTATCATTAGAACATTTGGTGGTACTCAGCAGGTTCCTATCTCTATGGGAGCTTGTGTATGTGTCCGTCTGTCTGTATCTGTCCAAGAAGTACTCTTAAATGGAAAGAGGTAGGACCACCAAATTCGGCATACAGCTTCCTCTTATCATAAACTAAGGTGAAGTAAGCGTTTGGTTGTGACAGGAAAATGGGATGTGCCTGGGATGAAAGTGCTTATCATACAGAAGAGAGGCTTATCATACAGAAAAGAGACAGAATCACTGGGCAAGTGAAAAGGGCTGACTGGGGTTGCATCTCCACCCCTCACTTCCAGGACTGCCTCAGGACTGAGCCTCTCACCTTCCCTGGTGCCTTTTAGGGAAGGCAGAGAGGCTGACAGGGGAATGCAGGGGTGAATGAACCTGGACCTGACCCAGCTGGGGTACATGCACTTCTTCCCATCTGTGCCTGCTGGCGCTGTAGCAGGCATGGAGAGACGCTTCTCATCTGGCCCCAAACTGCTGCTCTCTTCCTGAGGCAGTGTTCATACTGAACCCCCATCCCCACACCAGAGCAATGAATGAAATGAAGATAACAAAAAATCAGTTGAGTTAAGGGCCCAAGCAACACTGTCTAAATCTTCTAGTGGCTCATAAAAGGAGACTAGTTGTGGGATATATTAGGAACCTCAACACAGTCTCGATTTTGTTGTATGTGGATACTTGCAGTGTCCAAGTAAATCTCTGATTCTGTAAGTGAGTATTACAGTATAACTGAAGGAAATGTCATTGTTCTCTGTAGGCTTCTAATATTCAAAATTTTCCATTGTCATTGGTTGGACTCATTAAACTATTACAGCTCTATTCTGAGAGCTTAAAATTATTTTGATCGATTGGCATGGAGAAGAATAAGACATAGTTTGCTTAAAGAAAGTATTTTCTGTTTTTCACTAACCATGAAGCTGATTCAAAACTATGAGACTACGTCTATACTGCGCTTTCTTGCGCAAGAAAATATGCAAATGAGGTGATGCGGTGAATATCGCTAGGCCTCATTCTCATACTTAATTAGCCTCCTTTTTGCGCAAAAACCCCCTCTTGCGCAAGAGCCGTTCTGCCTGAAAAAAGCAGCAGAATGGCTCTAGCGCAAGAGGGGGTTTTTGCGCAAAAAGGAGCTGTATAGATGGCTCCTTTTTGTGCAAAGGCCCCTTGCCCAAAAATGGCGGCTCATTAACTATGAAAATGAGGCATGGCGATAGTCACTGCTTTACCTCATTTGCATATTTTCTTGCACAAGAAAGTGCAGTTTAGACGTAGCCTAAGTGAATCAGACACGGCTACATTTTTTTTCTCAAATGTTAATAAGGGCATTCGACAAATGCATAGAAACTTGTAAAGACAATATAACTAAATAGAAAGAGACAGTTCATTTGATTTGAGTGCCCTGTTTACCACTTTCTTAAAATAAAAAAATATTACTTAGAAACTGAAAATATTATTTATTTTGTTTTTCTCCATTGTGGAGGGGAATGATACTTTCCTCCTGGATTTATAATGTATCGTATGTTGACTGGCTGCCTCTTTTTTTCCTGCTTCTTCTACATCCTTATGTTGTTCTTTATGGTAAGGGAGATGTGTGTTGCTCCTGGAATGTATTCGTGATAGAAGACATAATTGTGCCTGTCCTGCCCAAACCCATGTGGGTCATGGTGGACATGCCACAATTGAAGTCACTGGTAAAACTCTCATTATCTCCATTGCTACTTCTTAATGTCTTCTCCATAGCTGCAAAATGAGTTTGCACACTGTTTTGTTGTAATTTTTTTAAATGATGTAAAATCATAGAAAACATCTTGTCTGCTATTTTTCTAGAAAGTTAATAGCAGTAAGGTCAAATTTGGAGCAAATAATTTTTTTAGTATTTATGGTTGTAACTTTTTTCTCATCCTAATAGATTTGTATGAAGGGTAAAGTGCACATATTCAAATATCTGAGCATACAGGCTTGCCAGATTAAAACAGCAGACTCACTTTATCTTAATGTCATAGAGCGACCACACTTGCAGCAACCTGTGGAAGAGAAGTAAGTATAAAAGCCTAACACTGCCTTCTTTGTTCACATAAATCAGTTCTAGTGGTCTGGAAACAAGTGAAATTTATTTTTATTTTTACTTCAAGTGCTTTCAGTGTAGGTTTATGTCAGTTGTACCTTTTTGAATAAAACTTTGATCTAAATTAATAATATTTATTCCAGAGAAACTGCTGTATTACTTCAGAATGATTAGAACATTTTAACATAACCTAAATGTAATCTTGATGATTATTAAATACCATTCCTTCACCATAACCATATAACTTGATTAAGACATTTTAGTTTTTGATGGATTCATTTCAGATTAGAATCAATTAATTTTTAAATGCACATGAGTGTTTTTCATGTTTTCTCCCTCATTTTGTCACTGCTCAGCAGAGTTAAGGTTTTTGAGATGTCTTAACTATACACTTTGAAAAGTTAGTATATTTGGATTTCTTTTATTTACTCTGAATTTCTTAGCTTTATAATTCTAAATTTTGTAATAATGTGATAAAATGTTGATCCTAATTACCAATTTGTCATCTCAATCTCACCTCAAAGTTAATACGCTTTTTGTCTAGGGATTTCCTTGTTTAAAAAATATCAGACACAAATTAAACAGTAACTGCTCCCATGCTAGAATATGATATTTCTAATGACTGGAAGATAAGTAGTATTGACTTTAATATTTTTAAGAAATATAATTGTTATGGGCAAATTCATTGGTACACCAGAGCAGCACAAAGCAGCCAGAACTTACTGGCCAATGAAACTGGCATTACATCACCTTTGCATTGTTAGAGTAGAGCCAAAGTGTATTTTGTATTTGTCGATTATGCCTTTAATTTTCAGGCAGTTTCTTGGTTTTGAGAGCTGTGTTACAGGAACTAGCACTATTTAAATGAAAGGATGGGCAGGGCTGATCCTATTGGTAGCCTATATAAAAATATCTGTGGAAGAAAACAAAGTCCTCACTCTGCGATTGTAAGCAACAAGTCAGAGACAGTTTATTTTTCTATTAAATTATCTTATTTGCAACCTAAATTCTTCAAACATGGTGTATGCACAAGACTTCAATGGGATAATGGGATGTGAGATAATACACACGATTGGAATATTGGTGTAGAAGGGTACAGTTTGCTCAGGAAGGATAGGCAGGGGAAAAAAGGGAGGAGGTATTGGTTTATACACTAAAAATATATATGCTTGGACTGTATTGGAGATGGACGTAGGAGACAGACCTGTTGAGAGCCTCTGGGTTAGTTTAAGAGGGGTAAAAAACAAGAGCGATGTCATGCTAGATGTCTACTACAGACTACCCACCGAGACAGAAGAGATGGATGAGGCTTTTTTAATCAATTAACAAAATCATCCAAAGCGCAGGATTTGGTGGTGATGGGAAAACTAACATAGCAGCACACAGATTATTCAGTAAGTTCTTGGAATGCATTGGAGACAATTTTTTATTTCAGAAGGTTGAGAAAGCTACTGGGGGAAGCTGTTCTAGATTAGATTTTAACCAATGGGGAGGAACTGGTTGAAAATTTGAAAGTGGAAAGCAGCTTGAGTGAAAGTTATCATGAAATCAGAGAGTTCATGATTCTAAGGAATGGTAGAAGAGAGAACAGTAAAATAAAGAGAATAGATTTCAGGAAGGCAGATTTGGTAAACTCAGAGAGCTGGTAGGTAAGGTCCCATGGGAAGCAAGACTAAGAGGAAATGAAGGGACATTATTAAAAGTTTTTGTCAAGAAGATTGATGACAGGATGCCTAACATAGTGAATACTAGTGGAAATTGGGTAGGTTTAGGAGTTAAAGAAAAAAAGAACAAGTTAAAATTACCTAGAAATGTTAGATGTTTTCAAGTCACCATGGCCTGATGAAATGCATCCTAGAATACTCAAGGAGCTGATAGAGGGGGGTATCAGAAGACCTTTAGCTATCATCTCTGAAAAGTCATGGAAGTCCAGAGAGATTCCAGAAGACTGGAAAAGGACACATATAGTGCCCATCTATAAACAGGGAAATAAGAAACACCCAGGAATTTACAGACCAGTCAGTTTAACTTCTGTGCTAGGGAAGATAATGGAGCAAGTAATTAAGGAATTAATTTGCAAATAACTGGAAGATAATAAGGTGATAGGGAACAGCCAGCATGGATTTGTAAAGAACAAATCATGTCAAACCAATCTAATAGCTTTCTTTGATAGGATATCAAGTCTTGTGGATAAGGGAGACGCGGGGGATGTGGCATACCTAAACTTTAGTAAAGCATTTGATACGGTCTTGCATGACCTTCTTATCAATAAACTAGAAAAATATAACCTAGATGGGGCTTCTATAAGGTGGATGCATAACTAGCCGGATAATTCTCAGAGAGTAGTGATTAACAGTTCACAATTCTGCTGGAAGGGCATAACAAGTGAGGTTCTGCAGGGGTCTGTTTTGGGTCCGGTTCTGTTCAATATCTTCATCAATGATTTAGATGACGGTATAGAGAGTATGATTATTAAGTTTGATGATGATACCAAGCTGGGAGGGGTTGCACGTACTTTAGAGGATAGGGTCATCATTCAAAATGATGTGGACAAACTGGAGAGATGATCTGAGGTACACAGGCTGAAGTTTAATAAGGACAAATGCAAAGTACTCTACTTATGAAGGAACAATCCGTTTCACACAGAATGGGAAGTGACTGTCTAGGAAGGAGTACTGCAGAAAGAGATCTAGGGGTAATGGACTACAAGCTAAATATGAGTCAACAGTGTGACATGCAAACAGGATTCATTGTGCATTAACGTGAGTGTTGTGAGCAAGACACAAGAAATTATTCTTCTCGTGCACTGATTAGGCTTCATTTGGAGTATTGTGTCCAGTCCTGGGCACCACACTACAAGAAAGATATGGAAAAATTGGAGAAAGTCCAGAGAAGAGCAACACAAATGATTAAAGGAATAGAAAACATGAGCTATGAGGAGAAGACTTGAAGAATTGGGCTTGTTTAGTTTAGAAAAGAGAAGACTGAGAGGTGACATAATAGCAGTTTTCAAGTATGTTACAGGGAGCAGGGAGAATTGTTCTCCTTGGCATCTGATGTAGGACAAGAAGCAATGGCCCTAAATTGCAGCATGGGAGATTTAGGTTGGACATTAGAAAAAACTTCCTAACTATTAGGGTAGTTAAACACTGGAATAAGTTCCTAGGGATGTTGGGACATCTCCATCACTGGAGATATTTAAGAGCAGGTTGGATAGACATCTGTCAGGGATGATCCAGATCAGGGGTGGGCAATAATTTTCAAAAAAATGTTAAGTGGCCCCAGGCCAGCCGGGAAGGAACGGGGCCTGATCCTGAAGGGGTGGGGCCATGATGCTTCTGGACTTCCCCACCCCCAGACCATGGAGCATGCACTCCTCCCAGGGCCAGGACAGGGCGAAGGAAGCTTTGTGCAGTTCCCCCGCCCCCAGGCCCTACCCCTGCCCTGCGAGGAGCACGCGGCTCTTCAAAGTGTCACACGCTGCTCACAGGGTGAGAGGAGATATCTCGTGCTCCCCTGCCCCCAAGCCCTGATTGGCCTGGGGGCGGGGGAGCTGTGCAATGCTTCCCTCGCCCTGCTCCTGCCCTGCGTGAGTGTACTTTGAAGTGCTGTGTGCTCCTCGCAGAGCAGGAGGCGGAGGAAACTTTGCACACTCCTCCTGCCCCCAGGCCACTAGGGCTTGGGGGCGGGGGAGCGCGAGATGTCTCCTCCCGCCCTGTGAGCAGTGCGTGGTGCTTCAAAGCACTGAGCGCTGCTCACAGGGCAAGAGGAAGTTTTGAGTGCTCCCTCGCCCCCAAGGCCTGATTGTCCTTGGAGGCGGGGGAGCGGCAGGGCCTCCGCAGGCCGGATCAACCCACTTGGTGGGCCAGATTCGGCCTGTGGAGGCCTTTTTGCCCACCCCGGTCTAGATGGTGCTTGGTCCTACCACAAGGGCAGGAGAGTGGACTTGATTATCTCTCAAGGTGCCTTCCAGTTCTAGTATGCTATGGATCTGTGAATTTTAATTATCAACATAGTTTAAAAAGTCTTTGTTGTTCCTTATTAAGCTCATTTGGGACAAAAAAAAAAAAAAAAAGACCAACAGGTGATACATATTTTTAAAGAATCCATTCTTACACTAATTTGAACTCCCAAACAAATTGATAGAATTATAGGTAAGTTCTCAAATCCTAACCCTCGTAAATTTGGAATGGATATGATATACCGTATTTTCCGGCGTATAAGACGACTTTTGATGTTAAAAAACATCCCCCAAAAATCGGGGGTCGTCTTATACGCTGGGTATGCAGCTTTGCAAAGCCTCGGGGGAAGCCGGCGGCGGGGCATCCCAGGCGCGCCGGGGCTGTCCCCCTGCCGGGGCGTCCTCAGAGGCTTTGCTCCCGGTGCCTCTGGTCTGCTGGGGACCGTCTCCAGCAGACCAGGGACACCGGGAGCAAAGGAGGCGGAGCAGCAGACCAGGGACACCGGGAGCAAAGCCGGGGAGGCGGAAGGGCGCTGGGGTATAAGACGAAACCCTATCTTTTAACTAAAAAATTAGGGGGTCGTCTTATATGCCCAGTAGCCTTATACGCCGGAAAATACGGTATGGTAAACGGTATGGTAAATTCTGTGTAAGCTCAGCAGTTGTGATTAGGGATGTTAAATGTCAGTTAACCTCATGAATTATCGGTTACTCGACTATTCTACAGTCCCTGGGGGCAGGACCGGCAGCCAGTGCACTCCAGCCCCACTCCTAAGAAGCTCCCTGCTACTCGGTGCTGCTACCTCTTTAATAGAGGTGCCAGGGGAGAGCTGATCCTCAAGGGGAGCCAGTTTAAAAATCAGCTCCCCTTGTGGATTGGTTGCCTGTCGCCCCGCGCTGCTGCCTCTGATAGAGGCAGCAAAGCAAGGTGACAGCAGCCCCTGTCGGGGGTGGGAGAGTGTCTGAGCTCCTGGTTTTGGCACAAGCTGGAACTGAGCTGGGCTGCTGGCCAGCCTGCTAAAAAATTTACCTGGTGGAAGGGGGAGGAAATGCATTTTGCTTATTGGTTAATCAACTACACTATTACATCCCTAGTTGTGACCAGTATCGCTAAAATGGTAAGAGGAGCATATAGTTTATTCTAAGAGAGATCTACTCTGTCAAAGTTGAAAAGGCTTTCATTTAATTTGCTCATGGGAAATACATTGCCATCTTTTTCGTTTTGTGTTCTTACAAGTGACTAGAACAATGAGATGCTGGTTCATAATTGGGACTCCAAGATACTCCCACATTAATAATAATATTTTATAAACACAATGGTGGAGGACCCATTATGAATACCAGCCTTTTTCCAAATGCTTGTGTTATACTTTTATTATTTTAGCACATATACTTTAACACAAATATATCTTTTGTGTTCATTAACTTTTCCACTAGCCAACAAAAACCAAAAATTATGAAAAATATTGTTTTCATGTTTATCATCATAATTGTATAATAATGCCTCCAAAGAAACACAAAATCTCTGGGCTTTCTACAGATTATTTCATGCAAAATTCCACTGTTTATTGGTAACAGATGGTAAAAACTGAGCCTTAATCTGAGACTTAGCTTTTACAAAGATTCTTAAAATTGTATTTTTCTTTTTTATTGGTACACAGGTCTAGTTGCAGAGAAAAGTGACACTGTGCAGAGTTAGGCAAGATTACAATTTACATTTTTTTAGATGAAAAATAGAAATGTGTGATGTAGAAAAATGTGACGGTCAATGTATTATCCTAGGAGCATGAACATATGACTAATACGGGTATTGTACAATGAGTAAAGGTCAAAATAGGCAATGAAACTAGAGCAGCAGGTACCTCACATTATTATGGTTTACTGATTTAAATAATTAAACTTCAAGGATTTTTAAAATTAGTGCATATCAAAAAGGTATATACGTCATTAATTACTTCACACTCTAGGGAGAGCCAAGCCCCTCTCACCCAATACTAATTAATTTTTAATATATTAGTGCTCATGTGCAATTCAGTTGACTATAGTCTGAGTACAGCTATTTTAGTTGATTTGAAAGTCACCTTGGGGATATGCAAAGAAATCAGAATGTGAACTAAAGAGATGATTTAACAGTAGCTTATTTTTTCATGTTTTTAATAAATCTTTTAAACTAATAACTTGTGGACTTGTTTGTTTAATCCATTAAACTTGTCATTGAACATTTGCTCAATAACATTGCCGGTCTTACTTCACATAGAGGCTAATAGGAGTTTTGGAACTGACTAGTGATGTAAAAGCTTATTCCAAAAGTTAACCAGTTAAATGGTATGCTGTGGTGGGGGCCACCTGTGGCAAGGTGCAGAGGGCCCAGCCAGCAGGAGTGGCCCCCCGCCTGTGGTTCCCCTCCTCCCCTTCTGTGGTGCAGCACGGTGGCCCTGGCCAGGTTGGAGTGGCCCCCACAATGAGGGTGGGGGACTGCTCTAGCTCGGCTGGGCCCACTTGGCCATGCTGTGCCACAGGTAAGGGCCGCTCAAGCCAGGCTCACCACATTGCAGTGCAGGCAACAGTCTGCTCCGGTTAGGCCCACTGCACCACAGCTGGGGTGCTGCTCTAGCCAGTCCAGGCCATTGGTTAACCACTTAATCAGTAAGCATCACCCAGGTAACCAGTTAACACTTTACATCCCTAGCAGTGACTTCACTAAGATCAGGATCAGGCTCTTACTGCACACTAAGATAACTTTCTGTTGGCATTTGTTTTACATTTAGCATTGACGACATATATCCAAGTAAGAAGGATTCTGATTCAGGTGTTGGCAGTGATAATGGAGATAAACGTTTGTCTGCTACAGAGGTAAATTGCCTGAATTTTTGCTTTTTCAAGCCATTTTGCTTTATACTTTCAGTTGGATATTTTTGTGGAGATGTCTTCTACGCATCAAAAATATGTGGCTAAACTCTGTAAGAAATTTCTACAAAAGTAAAGAGTGAAATTATGAGGATAAAAGAGTATCTTTAATGCTATATAGCCTTGTAGAGGAGGCTATCAAAATACTTATTTCAAAAGGTTTAAAGAATACGTTACTGAAGAAATTCATGTTGATTGTTGCTTTTGTGATTTTATTCCCTAAGATAATTAGTTATTTGTCTCGCTATGGTTGAAAGTCAGTGAGACTTGGGCACCAAACTCCTTTAGGTCCTTTTGAAAATCTTACTCTAAATTTTTATTTTACTTCCACCGCTCAGCTCTTCTTTTCAGTTTCTTGCTGTCTAAAGCCATGGGAAGATACAGACTCTGAATGTTAGCGCTGCTTTGTAATGTTCTTGTACCTGACTGTTTTGTTCTCTAAATATGCATTACAACAGGCACACTACTTTACAGCTGAGCTGGCATTTTTTGGAAGCCCCAAATTCAAAATAGAGTCTTTAGAGGTGGGTGCCCCCAAGGAATTAATTTGGACTTGATGCAATTTTTAAAATACAGGTTGGACCTCACCAGTCGCAAATGAGAGAATTTGCTGGACCAGGGATGGTCTCTTGCCCCAAGCCCCATCGCTTGCTGCTGGCAAGCTCCCCCAGGAAGAACCCTGCCTCACCCTCTCCTCTCCCCCAACCTGGGGGGGCTGCTTGCCCAGCTCTCTGTGCAGCACAGGCCAGAATCTCCTGCCACAGAGATCCAGCCCCATGCAGCTGGGAGGCTCCAGGGCCAGCCGTGGGACTCTGGCCCCGTGCTCCAGAGGGCTGCTTTGGAGTTCTTACCTATTCTCCAGAGGGCTGCTGCAGGACTCAGGGCCGGCTGGTGCTCTAGTGGGCTGCGGTGGGTTTCAGCCCCAAGCTATCGCGGGGCTCAACTCCAGCCCCATGCTTCCGGGGGCTGCTGCGATACCCTGGCCCTACGCTCCTGGGGGGATTCCAAAAAACTTCGGCTCCACGCCAACCCATGCTGCTGGGGGACTCCAGCCTGGCCCCGGCATTGCTGCGGGCTGCTAAAGGCTGCTACAGGGCTCCAGCCCCAGTCCTGCGCTGCCCCCACCAGGCTGCTGACCCTATTGCCCCATCCTGGCTGTCCCTCTGGGCCCTAGGCTCCCAGTCTCTCTGGTCCAGGAGCATTTCTGGTCCTGCTAGATGAGGGATGTTGCTGGTCCAGAGAGTGCCAGTTTTTGGAGGCACAACGTATACTGTACATTTAAAAGAAGAAAGAGAGAAGAGTCAATGGATGGTGGGTGGCTGCTGGGAGACTAGGGGACTGCAAAAAAGAAAAGGGTAAGAAAATTAAATCTTTGGAGGAAGAGCAAATGAAAATGGATGACTGTCTCCACTGAGCAATATAGATAGGGATCACACCTCTCAAAGAATGTACAGTTACTATGAAGTAAGTTTCACTTGTGACACGTAGTTGTAGTTCTATTAGTCCCAGCATATTAGAGAGACACAGTGTGTGAGGTAATACCTTTAATTGGACCAACTTCTTTCTGCTGATTAGAGACACAAGCTTTCAAGCCACCGTATCTTTCCAAGATTTAAAGAAGAGCCCTGTGTGGCTTGAAAGTTTCTCTCTCACCATCAGAAGTTGGTCCGATAAAAGATATTGCCTCACATACCTTGTCTTTCTCATATGAAGTCAGAAACTTTCAAAATCACTGCATCAGGCACTAAAGTTGTTTGAAATTAATGCTGCAGTGCCTTTAGATATTGAAGAAGAAAATTAGATTTTTCATCTTTTACATCGTTGATCCTTAAAAGTCTGTCAATGGCTTCCATTGCTAATTGAATAAAAATAAAAGTACAAATGAAGGAAATGTGATACAATATTTCACCTGTAAAAAAGCTGTGATGACTTTGTATAATTACAAAGCTGCTTTGGATGGTTCCTGTTTGGCTCTATACTGTCAGGAAGCACCTGGGAAGATCAGTTACATAGTTTAAAAAAATCTAGCACCCTGAATAGCTTTGTAAAGAATGATTGCCAATGCAAGAAGCTTCATTTTCCTTTTAACACTC